CAAATGTCAGCTAGCTTCTGTCTTCAGAGGGGGACCAGGCAGGGATGCCCACTCTCCCCCTCACTATTTGCTATCTTTATTGAACCACTAGCAGCAGCAATTAGGCAAACAACAGATATTAAAGGGATAAAGTGTAAGAAAATAGAACATAAGATCAGTCTTTATGCAGATGATGTTTTACTCTTTCTCCAGAATTCTCAATCCTCTCTCTCCCAAGCAATAGAACTGATAAACTCTTTTTCCAGAGTTTCAGATTACTCTATAAACTGGTTAAAATCCACAGTTCTACCAATTAATTTCTCATTTGTCAATTTGCTTAATACACAATTGGAGTCAGGGAATATCACATACCTGGGAATTAATATCTCTCCCAAGTTAGCGGATCTAACCAAACTGAATTACATCCCACTTTTAAGGAAAGTGGAAGATGATCTTGCAAGATGGAAATCCTTACCAATATCACTCATGGGGAGAGTTGCTACAATTAAAATGATGGTCTTACCCAGAATAAATTACTTATTCTCGATGATCCCAAACAAACCTCCAGCTGACTGGTTTAAATCTCTGGACTCCTCAATTACTAAATTCCTTTGGCAGGATAAACCTCCACGAATTAGCTTAAAAACGCTTCAGAAGACCAAAGACAGAGGAGGACTGGATTTACCCAACTTTTATTATTATTTCTTAGCCAACAGGCTGCAATATATACCAAGATGGTTGCAAGATACCCCATTAGACGAGTCCTGGTTAGATATAGAACAGACACTTTGCAATAAGATAGAGCTTTCAGACTTACCATTTATTAGCCCAAGCATAAGAAAACATGAAAGCTTCAAAAGTATTAGTATCAGCACCTCTCTGACAGCATGGTGGGAGTATCTTAAAATGACAGAGTCTTCACTAGTACCATGCAGACGCACACCTATCTGGAACAATCCTGACATTTTGCAAAACAACAAAATGATGAACCTTCCGGACTGGAAAAATAAAGGAATCCTATACCTGGAACACATATATGAAGGATTGGACTTCATCCCATTTAATCAAATAGTCTCCCAATTTGGAATGGATAAGAATAGCTTTTTAGAATATCACCAAATTAAATCTGTAGTCAAACAAAAATTTAAGCTCAATAAAATAGAATTACAAACACCACCAAGGGTATTAGACTTCTATAATCTCAAACCCCCCAAACTACTGTCTAAAGTATATAAGACACTGTCCAAAATAGACGATAAAATTGCAATCCCTATTGAAAAATGGGAGGTGGATCTATCAGTTAGCTTTGACCAGGACTTCTGGTCCCAAACTTGTTTAAAAACTTTTAAAATGATCAGACACCCTAATTTACAATTAATTCAGTACAAAATTCTACACAGAGTACACTATACAGGTCATCGGATGTTCAAGATGGGGTTTGTGTCGTCTGACACCTGTACACACTGCACAAACAACATTTCTGACAATTACATTCATGCACTGTGGTCCTGCCCACCTGTCCAGGAATTTTGGGGTAGAGTATGTGAGGATCTGTCAAAATGTCTGAAATGTCATATCCCAACTTCCCCCTCTCTTTGTTTACTGGGACAGCTGCACGATGTCCCGATTGCAACATCTTTGGTTCACGTGGTTCTGACTCCCATATGCATCGCTAAGAAAACTATCCTCTTGAATTGGAAAAATAGAGAAAGTCTCTGCATTAACCAGTATAGAAATCTTTTGTTAGATCATATTGCACTTGATATAGCCTCTGCTTCCACTTCAGATGAATCTCTCTGGGCTCCTTTGATCGGTTCCATCACATAGCGAGGGTGGGGGGCCATTGATGTTGTCCTGCGGGATGGTGTGGGTGGGGGGGTGTGGGGTCTGAGTTTGGAGTATCCGGATGTTCCCTTGAGGTGGGTTCACTGGGGGTGTCTGGGACTGGGGGGCTGTTGCCCCCCTCTGGAGGTGCTTGGGTTGCCTCGGGGGGTGGACTGCTGGCGGTTGTGAGTGGGGCCCCTTGGGGATCTTGGCGGCGGCCATGGGTCACTGCCTGGCGGCTGCAATGCTCCTGGGCGGGTCTGGGTGGGGGCCTGGGGGCTCGGGGTTTGGGGGTGGCCGGCCCCGTGTGGGGATCTGGGCGGGGCCTTGGGGGTCAGGTCCTGACATGTATGCTGCCGGGAAGAAGGCAGGAACACTCGGCAGTGCCTGGCCCGGGTTCGGGGGCATCAGGTAGACCTTGGCTCCTCTGCCGTTCCATCACAGGGGAGGGGGAGGTCCAGGACGGGGAGGACCAAACCTTACCAGGATGTCCCATGTCTTATATATTCTGGAAGTTGTGCAAATGCAGGGGTGGGCATAGATATTCTGCTGGGATGGGGCTGGGTTGGTGCCCTCGGACTCCGTGAGGCTCTGTAATGCTGCTGCTTTGGGCCCTGGCAGGATGGGCTGGGGTCTCCATGCCCTGGGTGGCAGTTTGACAACAGAGGTGCCTATTGGGGCCAGTAGGGGAGCTGGCTCCCTGGAGGGCTAAGCCCAACCAGCCATTCCTCCCCATCCCCGCATATTTCTCTCCTCCTGCTCCCTCACATCATCACACAAACATACATATAGGACCTTGGGGGGTGGGCAAGTCAGGGAGTGCGGGTATGGACCCCATTTCCGCATTCCTGTGGCAACCTGCCCCCAAATTTTATTTGCACCTTATACACTTCCACTGACGACATTCCACACAAACGCACACTTAGGGCCTTGGGAGTGAGCACATTCAACGGCATTTGGCAGGGGGATATTTCAGCCTCCTCCCGAGTGCCGGTGCCCACTTCCAATTTTAAACCGCACTTAGACACTGATGGCTGAGGGTGTAAGTGGGGTGGTGCGGTGGCATCAGCTGGCATATGCCGGATGATGCCCGTACTGCCCACTCACCACAGCCATGGAATACACCTCATGATCACACAACACTATATTGGAGCAGGTGGAGGGAGACTAGGGGTCTTAGCCACCTCTGTTGTTGCTAGGCTTCCTGGGGCTGGAGGCTAGGAGGGAGATCTGGCCGTCTGGTTGGGGTCTGGGGTGGTGGGTTGCTGTGCTCAGCGTTGGGCGGGGGAGCCTGCTCATCAGCACCCCAGCAGAAAGGGTCAAACTCTGGTTACCGGTGATGGTTGTACCCCATGTGCAGCAGTACCGGGACCAGAGTTAATAAGGTGTGTATGGGGAGCATGAGTGAGTGTCCGGCATGCATTTTTGTAAGTCTTGGGTTGTATGTGCATGTGTGAGCATGAGGGAGGGAGTGTGTGACTGTGTTTGTGTATGACTGTATATGTCAGGTGGGGCCTTTGGGTCCTCCCCTCTCCTGGAACTTCTCTTGATGATATAGATCTTTGTCCCCCCTCCCCCTGCCACACCTGGTGTGGGGGCTTGTGCCATGGTCTGCCTGAGTGTTCGTGGCAACCGGGTCCGGGGGTTTAAGATTTTGGCATCTGCCTGATAGATCCCGGTGGCTGCCTGGTGGGGTCTGGGTCCCTGGGCTCTGCTGGGTTCCCGGCGGGGGTGGTCACCCCTGGGTCCCGGGTCGCTGGGTCCCGGGTCGCTGGGTCCCGGGTCGCTGGGTCCCGGGCTCGGCCGGCTAGGGGGTGGGAGGCTGCGGGCGGGCCTGTGGGCTTGCCGCTGATATCTCCAGGGACTCTGCCGGCTGCTGGTTGTGGCCCCCCGGGGTGATCCTCTGTGCCTCTCGAGGGGGGCGGGGGCCTTTCTGGTTGCAGTCTCCTTGGGGTTCCTGCATTCTGGGGCAACGCCTGGATCTCTGGGACTTGGAGCTCCCCCCGTCTCCTGCGCATCTTTGGGGGGCGGATCTGTGGTCCCTCACACTCTCTGTTGGACGCTCCTATAGAGAAACCTTAAATAAACAAGCGCGTGTACTCACACAGGTGCTCATATGGTGCTCTCAAAAGTATGGGCTTGGGCACGTTAAACACAGGTCTTAAGACTATGGGGGGCACTTAATGCATTGTGATTTATTATCGTGATTCTTCAGTTAAGCAATGTTGATTATATATATATATATATATATATTGTTTTTTTTTTTGTTTTTTTTCATCAAGTTGACGCAGTGATAGGTAGATCTTGTTGTATTGTTGTTGTGTCCCTTTTTTGTGTCCTTTTGTTTTTTTTTTGTCTTTTTCTGCAGGTTTAGAAGCAGACTCTTGTTCATTGTTTATTTTTGTGGACCCCCCCACCCCCCCCGCCTCCTCTCTCTCCACCTTTTCTCTTCCTTTCTCTTTCACCTCTGTCTCCGTGTCTGGTCGGAATTACAAAGCATTCAACAACAATAACAATAAAGTTTTAAGTATCAGGTGTGACATTAAAAGCAAACACTTTGATGCTCCACCTGAGAATAAATCTGTAAGGCTTGTCACCTGCATTCAGACATCAAGTCTGCTTGCTTCACAGCCAGACAGGACACGGTAAAAAAAAAAGAAAGCATCACTTTGACTTCCCCAAACATTTGTTCTCTGAAATTGGATAAAACACTTATCTATGTCTCTTCAGGGGCACTTAGCTTGTCCACGTAATCAGCTGCAATAATCAGTGGAGCTTAAAATGTCTCTCTTAGAACAGGAGCTTCTTTCTTCACCTTCTCTGTGGACAGAGACGCTGGTGCTCCTGCAGAAAAACAGTGCAATAAATTCAACCTTGTGCTCCCAGTTCTTGCTCTTAAAAATATTGAAAACGATGCTTATGGTGAGTTGTTTCCACTAGTTTCAATAATATTTGAAATAATGCATTAATACATTGTTGTGAAAGGAATGAATCTGTTCCAGGTGTTTATTTGCAAAATCTTCCAGATTGTGCACAAACAACAAATCTTGAAGATTTTTTAAAAAACGTGTTAATATTTTTAACCTCGATTTCGCATCAGAGACGAAAACACAAGCTGGTTGCTGCTTTAGATGCTCGCTACTGATGATCTCCGGCAGCTGATTGCAGAGCGCGTGCGTGCGCGTGGTGAGGCTCTTACATCACCTGCAGCCAGCAGCAGCATCTAGCTCGAGAGAGAGAGGAGAGGAAAAGGAGGAAGAGGAGGGGGCAGCGCGACGCACAAACCCAGCTGGCCATATTGCACACCAGCTTCTTGCAAATCGGCTGCGTCACATGCAAAAAAAAAAAAAAAAAAAAAAAAAAAGCGCACAAACGCAACGCAGCAAAGCTGGAAGGATAAAGTCAACAACACACGCTGGTTCACAACGCGCCTCGGCTGAGCTGGTAAGCGTCTGGATGCGGTACATGATCATTTTACATTTTCTATCTTCTCTGGTCCGTTTACGTCGAGTCCTTCCTGCGCTCTGGTGGTCTCCAGGCTTTCCCTTTGGCCCACAGAGCGCCGGAGACCCTCCACACCGTTTTGTTGGATTTGTGCTTTGTTTTTCCTAAATGATTCCTCCAACCAATCACGAGAGGGCCAGGTGTCTGTTATTAACGAGTAATTAGCGCTTGTTTCCGTGCAGGGAAAATGGTTAAACTGGGGAATAATTTCACCGAGAAAAATAACGGGAAGGTGGTTTCTGAGGACGGATTTGACACTATCCCGCTCATCACACCGTTAGATGCCAGCCAGCTGCAGTTCCCCCCACCTGATAAGGTGAGATATTTTATTATAATTAGATGTTTATACATATTGCATTCTCAGTTAAATGCATATATGTTTATCGTTAAACATTTAATCTGCTTATTGATTAGAATGAGATAATCTGCGTGTTACACCCTTCTACCAGGTGGTGGTGAAGACAAAGGCAGATTATGATGGGGAGAACAGGAAGGGAAAGCTACGATCTCCCAAAATTGCTGAGTTCTCCATAAGCATCATATCTGAGCGACTCAAAGTAAGAATTTAGTGTTTCCCATTTCCCTCCCACACATGCATATGCTGAAGAGCAGATGTCCTCCTGCAGCTCAGGACACCGCTCAGCTGCAGCTTTGCATCTTTCACCTTGTTGTCTCACACTCCTTCATGTCCTGCTCATCTGGTCTGGATACACAGAAACACATAATGATTCACTTAACCCCGCCCTGAAGCTCTCACTCTGCTGCTGCCATGGCGATGGCCTCCACATCCTCTCCCTTTCACACCACCCACTGTTCACACCTATGGGTAAAACCTGAGCTTTTTGTAAAAGAAGCAGCACCTGTTTAGGTCCATGTTAGCGGAGCTCGCCTCTCCTTTTTGTGAGAACCAACTGATGACGGCACCTCTGTGAGGATTGCCACGCTTCTTTTATGAAGCTTTATTCCTGGGATGTGTGAAAGGCAGAGAGGCACGCCACTTTCTTGGAGAACACAGCTTTCCTCGGAGCTTTGAAGCCCTGCTGGCAGACCTTTTCTGTTTCTTTCATAAACTCTGCTTTGTGTATTTCATTCTCAAGTGCTGCAGGATTCAAAGAGACAGCTAATAAGTTAAACGCTTTAAAAGAACTAAATAAAAGCAAACATTGCGGACATTCAGATTCTTCAGGTTTTAAATGGAGATTATCGACTGCTTAGTTTAAAGTGGCTCATAATTTGTGGACAAAATTAGATGTGCATAATTAACTAATCCTGTTTGTTTATCCCGCCATTATTAACCAAAACATATTAATCTACAGCTGATTAATGTTTGGAATCACCATTCAAGATGGCTAGCAGAGCTAATCAACATTATTATGGTTAAAACTGCAGTTTTATGGATATTGAGCTAAACCCTGGCTGAGATTCAAAACAACTTTTTTCCTGCAGTTTTCTCCGCCTTAAAAAAAGCTCATAACTCATATGATAAATACAATGTCAACAATGAGAGGTTCTCTAATTGTCTCCTGCCCCTCAGCCGTTACTCCAGAAAAAGCCAGTAGCTGTTGTGTAATCCTCATGGGAGTTCAGAGCTCAGCTTCACAGATGGTCACACGAGCCATTCACTGGTCCAGTTAATATATTCACATTATTCAGCAGCTCGGACGGGTTTAAACTGCCGCTGTTTCATGCATATTGTTAATTTGGTTCATGTCCTGCTCTGTGGATCTATACACTAATTCTGCTTGAGTTTTAATTGTTAAGAGAAATCAACAGATTTGCATGAAACACCGACTGTGTTGATCTGATTTATTACACATACACACACACAGATTGTACAAATCTGGGATGTATTTGTCTCTTTTTGAATCTGAAAGAGTTTGTTTTAATAAATCAAATTTAACCAAATCTCCATGCGACCAGATGCGACACAGCATAGCTATTAAATCAGAAAAGGTGCAAAAACTGCAAATCTTTGATTAGTTAGATATCAATGACTTGTTTATGAAGCTAAAACCCGAATAAACATGTTCTGGGTCAGTTCTGGTTATAATTAAAGGAAAGTCTTAATGTAAACTTAATGTTTTACTTATTATATTAGAATATTAATTTATTTGTGTTAGTTAGAATATTTGACATAATTTAGATCCACCCATGCATCTTCCTCCTCTTATCCAGAGTCGGGTCACGCGGGCAGCGGCCTGAGCAGGGAGGCCCAGACTTACCTCTCCCCAGCCACTTGGACCAGCTCCTCCGGGGTAATCCTAAGGTATTCCCTGGGAAGCTGAGAGACATTGCCCCTCCAGTGTATTCTGGGTCTTCCTTTAGGTCTCTTCCCAGTTGGACGTGCCTGAAAAACCTCACCAGGGAGGAGTCCAGGAGGCATCCTAACCAGATGCCCGAGCCATCTCAACTGGCTCCTCACGATATGGAGGAGCAGTGGATCTTCTCCGAGTCCCTCCCAGATGACTGTGCTTCTCACCCTATCTAAGGGAGAGCACAGCCTCCCAGAGAAAACCAATTTTGGCCGCTTGTATCCATGATCTAATTCTTTCAGTCACTACATAAGTGACCATAAGTGAGGGTAGGAACGTAGATGGACCGGGCTGCCATCTTACCATGCTGGATGGGTTTGAGTGTCCCAATGATCCTAGGAGCTAAGTTGTTTGAGGCTTTATGCCTCTTGTAGGGTCACCCATGACAAACAGGTTCTAGGTGACGATGCAGCCCACAGACCCCGGCTTATGATGATCTCAGTATATATATGGATGATGTCTTACCTCACCCAGACGTGGGTCACCAGGGCGCCGCTCTGGAGCCAGGCATGGAGGCGGGGTGCATTGGCAAGCACCTGGTGGCCGGGCTATCACCCATGGAGCCTGGCTGCGCACAGAGGAAATGTGAGTCCCCCTTGGGCTCACCACTCATGGGAGGGGCCAAAAGGGTCAGGTGCAACGTGAGACGGGTGGTAGCTGAAAGTGTGGTCTGACATTTTATATTTTGAGCCTGTGACGCCAACCTGCCAATGGGTTACCTGAAAATTAGACACGATAGTTTATGTGCACGGTTCTGATTAAATACACTCAGATCAAGGCCATGTAAAGACATGTTCCTTGAGTTCATTGGTCAACGAGTGTAGACACAAAGAACCTAGCACTAACCCTAACCTAAGGGTGTAATTTGTGGTGTTCTCCAAATAGATGTGGACCTTGAACTAATTAATCCTTTGTTGTCTTTAGGTGACCTTGCTGGTAATCTGTGCTCTGGCTTTCCTGGTGTGTGTGGTGTTCTTGGTCGTGTACAAGATCTACCAGTATGAGCAGCCTTGCCCTGACAGCCTTGTTTACATGGTAACTGTTTCAAATCATTTCAGCTTGGGTTGGACATTATGTTCTTGAAACAACTGTAGTCACCACATTTTCACTTTGGTCTGATTTTATTTCACTGAACTCATCGCCAACTTGCCTCGTTTTACCATCTCTTTCTTGAGCAGCAAGGTCGCTGCATGCCGACCGGGCTGTATGGCAGCTACCCACCTCAGGGCCCTGGAGGCAGGGGGCGCCTCTTCACCTACATCAACCACTACAACATGGCCAAGCAGACCATCACTCGGTCGGTATCACCGTGGGTGACCATCATGTCCGAGGAAAAGGTAACCCAGCAGGAGACGGAGACCGCGCAGAAGCTGGCTTAAGCAACCTGGGATTAGGAGGAGGTATTCACTGCTGCAGAAAAATTAATAATATGGTTGTGCCATTCAAGCAAACCTCGAGTCCCATCGCCTTCTGTGGGTTAAAACAAAACAAACAAAAAAGTGTATCTTGCCTGAGGTGCTATGCTGCCTTATTGATGTAGTTTGGTCAGTTGATGTGTACAGTAGCTGGAAATGTGTGGACGTGTTCTCAGCACAGTGAGGCTCAGTTTGGTGGAGTCACAACTTGTTTGAATAGCATACATCATTTATTTACAAAGTAACAGTGGCTGATATGTAGAAAATGCCACCGAATCGCTGACACCCCCCCCAAAACACACCGTCTTTGTACATACACATATATGAAGACTCTCACTTTAGTGCTCAGATCAGACCGTGAGCCTTCTTGTGTTTCACCACACACACGCACAACTAACAGCAATCACCCTGCTTTCAGTTTCTTTTCTTTGAGAGCTGATTGAAGCATATCGGACTAAAATTATCATGACACTAATCTTGTAAAATATGTGAGCTCATCTGTGCAGAAATGTTCTGATTTTATGAGACAACGAATGAAAATGTACCAGCAGAGAAAAACATTTTAAACAGTGTTGTTTTGGGTCAGGTCATTTATTAATGATTGTTTCCATCAATTAAGAACAAAACAGACTTTCCTTTGCTGGCTTGCATCATGCTTACTTTTCATAGCATAACCTCTATTGTATTGAATGTTTTTGCTAGTAAAGACACTGTACTGTGCGTTTGAATCATGTGACCACAGACGGTTGTTAGCAGCCGTCAGGTAGTGAATGTAGACTAATGTAGTGAAACAAACTGGGTAGTTGCTTGTCTTGTTGCTTTTTCTGTATTTGTCTTTTAACTTGAGCTGTTCCCAAAAAATAAACCTACATTTTTTGAACTATGTAATGATTACCATTAAAGTGCATTTGCTAAATGAAAAATGTCATGATCAACTGAAATAAAATGCTCACATTCCAAATGTCAGATTATTTTTTTTAATAATTTAGAGAAACCGTGTTTTCAGTGCTGCTGAAACAAATACATTAATCAAGGAAAGATTAAATCAGACTAGGGTCAACTTCTTATCTGAGAAAACGACGATATGCAGTGGATTTCTGCAGAACTGAAGTTTATTGAAATCCTAAACTTATAATGTGTTTAGTTTTAGTAGAACTAAAGGGGTGCACAGTTCAGTTCTAATGTACCAGATGCTATAAAATGTAAGTGCTGTAGCATTCAGTAGGATGAAATAATGTCACAGAACAATGAAAGCATCTATCACTTGTTTTCTTGACGGTTTCACAGCTGCAGTCACTCAAACCTTTATCCCTCTTCTAGTGGTAGAAAAAGGTAACTGTCCATCCTCTGGATAAATGGTGGATCTGCACACGGTTCCCCATAAATCTTACATCCACAGAAGTGCACACAAAGATTAAAGCTACCCTGAAAGCAGGGCTGTGGTTTTCCATCCTGGAGAACACAAAGTGTCCAGCGACTACAGCAGTGCGCGTCCGATCTAGGTGTCATGGAGTCTTGATGGGATCACCAAATTCCCCTTGTGTTAACTGTCATACCAGTCCAGGAAGAGAAGAGAGAATGAGCACATGACGAGGAAGAAGAGGATCCAAACTCTGAAGCCAGCATTGTTTTTGATCGCCTTGTAGGAAATATAAAAAACACCAAAATGTCACTTTCTTAAAATTTCAACAGAAGCAAAACATAGATATTCATTCCCTCTAAGCTTTACCTCTCGGATATCCTCGTTGCCTTCTTTGACGTTTTCCGTCGCACCCACAACCAGCTGGTGAATACCATCTATCTCACTCTCCTGTCACAGCAAGGGGAATATAGAAAATATAAAATATCTGAGTACAAGATGTCCAACAAAAAACACAGGAAGTGTGGGGGTGAAACACTTTCTCACTTGTTGCAGGACTTTCTCAGCAAAGATCTCCTGGAGTCGTGAAATCTCCATCACACTTCCTTCAATTTGCCTGGAAAGTTAAAAAAAGTCAAATAGAATTGATTTTAATGTTCAATTATTTATTAAACTCTTTAAAAAGGGGGCTCACCTGACTTCATCCACCAGGTTGCTCATTTCACTGACTAATCTCTGGTTTTCCTGTTCAAACTAAGTAAAAACACAACACTTGAGTCTGTGGACATGTGATACCTAAAGCACAGATTATGTTAGACAGATTTGACATCATCTGACCAACAAACAGTATGGTATGCCTTTAGCTTTTAAAGTATCAGCTACTTTTTGCCATTTTCAACACTTTATTTGACACAATACACGAGCAATTCTTATGATTAAAGCACACTGAGTCACTAAAATAGCTGTGTATTTATAAGACACATTAAAGGTGCATTACCGTATTTTCCGGACTATAAGCCACTACTTTTTTCCCCACGCTTTGAACCATGCGGCTTATAATGAGGTGCGGCTTTACTGAAGATTTTCCTTCACCTGCCAGGGCGCGCTTTAGCAGAAAGTGAAACAGGTGGAAGTCAAAAGTGGAAATCGAAGAAAGTGCTCATTTTAATTTAGCACATGTAAGCAGGCGGCACGACGAAGAACTTTTTTCAAATCCATACCCCCTCATCATGGTAACTACACGTATGAGTTCATATGATGCCGCATTTAAGCTGAAGGCCATCGATCTGGCAGTAAAGGAGGGAAACAGCGCTGCCGCACGTAAGCTTGGCATGAATGAATCCATGGTTCGGTGCTGGAGACGGCAGCAGGAAGAACTCATTCAAGCCAGCTTCACCCGGGGATGATGACAGCAACACGGACAGCAACACTGACATCGCCACAGAAAAGGTATGTGACGAAGCTCTTCTGAGGCTGTTCAACTCCGACACTGAAGAAGAGGACTTTAATGGCTTTAGTGCGCAAGAGGAAGATGAGAGCGAATGACTTTTTCTGATAGGCAAGTGTGTTTTATTTACTAACCAGGCATGTTTTGTGTGCAGTTTTTATTTTATAATCATCCAGGGCTTATTAATGCTGTGTCAGCGCTGTTCTTTTCTTCTAAACATGCATGCAAATGACCGGTAATAACGCGTCAGTTCTGTTTTTATTTTATAACTATCCAGAAATATGAATGCTATCAGTGCTGTTTTCTTTTCTAAACTTGCAGGCACGTTCACCCGTGTTTAAAATTTGATTTGTTGAATTAAAACAACAACGAAAAACCTCCGTGTAGCGTCTTTCTGTCTAATTATCTTATGGTGTGGCCGTACATGCGCTGTGCGCCGGAGACCTGCATGTGGCTGCTGCACCGCAGCTTGTATTTGAGTGTGGCGTGTGTAGAAAACCTTTTTGTTGTTGGTGCGGCTTATATTGAGGTGCGCTCCATAGTCCGGAAATTACGGTATGTAAGAATGAAGTAAGAATGACATCCTGTGGTCAAATTTGGTTACTGCAGCCCATTTTCCAAACACACAAGTGACTCATTTCCATCTCTTGAGTTTCCCGCCACGGTTCAGCACCAGAAGATTCTAGATGACAAGCCATCGAGACATACACAATAAGTTGATACGTAGATAAATATTGTTTAATATTTTAATATTGAGTGGTTGATAATTGAAAAGGTAGATTGAAATTTTTAGAGCTAACCATTTGCTTCTAATTCTCCGTTAGGATTGTTAGCTCAATGTTAGCCTCTCGCTTTCTTTACCAGATATTAGCGAGAAAACAAAAAGATACTTTGACCTCTTAGAGGTACAAGTAATAACTTATGGGTCACTCCTGTTTGCTGGCTTCAGTTCTTTAAAGAGCAAGTCACCCCCAAATCAACTTTTTTTGGCTGATAAACTATATAAACGAGTGTCTAATCGTGCTGCAGACACGTGTAGTCAATAATTTGGCACTTCAGTGCATCGTAGTTAAAATTTAAATATTCTACCTAAAACTGTCAGTGTTGTGCCGTCGTCGGGTAAAAACTCTGCACTGTATTTGAATTTAAATCTGCCTCCGCTATTGGCTAAGAGGTATGCTATGATGTAAACTGGGACATTATGATGTCACAATGCTGTCGTGAGTCTGTGTGTGTGTGTTTGTTAGCAGCTCCGCCCTCTCGGTCTGCCTGGCAACAGCATTTGTTGCATTTTTCAAACATGAAGTGGGAGTGGAGTTAGACTCTGGTAGGGGGTGACTTGCTCTTTAAACAACTTTGGGGCTTTTTGCCTGCCGGTGTTGAATTACAAATGCTGGAGCTGCAGCGGTAGCTCGGCACAGGCTCTGCAACCTTACGGCCTCACAGATAGTAAACAAAGACTGTGCCTCTCTTCAGCCTTATTAAAAGGAGAAAACCTGACAATCCTCCAGCTACCTGAGAATGAATTCTGTGTCCATGTAACCTTCCTGCCAACATGATTAGGACATTGGACAGTTCTGTGATTATTGCATGTTGAATTCTTACATATTGCTCCTTTAACCCATTTTTCTAAATTTAATGACCAATATCTGATGTTGCACACCATCTGAATCTCTTCAGGGGAGAGCTCATCCTCCACTCGGCCCTCCTCCCACAGGTTAACAGATCCACTCTGGACCTCTGACACATTCTTCTCTGCAGAAACAAAGAAATACCAATTTAAAAAATCATAAAGCAGAAACACCTAGCAACAGAGAGAATTTTTCAATTCTATTTAGCGGATGTGATTTTGGCCAGGTGTTTTTGTGTGTGATCTGATTTCTTCCCTGTATCTCAAATATTAGTAAAGTGTGAGTGTGAATCTTGGTGAAACTGTGAAAACAAAACTAACAACTAATGGTGAGCTGAGTAAAGTTCAAGAATCAAATATATTTGTGATTGCAAAAAAGAAAAGGTAAACAAAATTTTGTTATGCATGAAAACAAAAGTTTATTATGTATTTTTTTAATATCTCTTATTCTTATTAGTCATTGTTTCACCAACATTTTTAATTGGGCTTTATTTTACAAAAATAAATGCAAATTAAAGATGGTGGTATTTTAATGGTGTTTTATTTGTTTTAAGGTTTTAAGACAACAGATGGCTGTGGATGTCCGGCGGGTGCTTCTGGAGGCCCTGCCTCCGCCGGAGGATCCACTGCTGGATGGCCTCTCGGAGCCTACGAGCCTGATCCAGCCAAACATGAGAAGAGGAGACGATGGATCCGGAGATGACCCCTGCAGGCAGGCTCAGAGGCCCTTCCCCTTTAGGGAGGGACCTTTTTGTTTTCACCTAGTGTTGCGGTGAGGAGGGTAGTGTTGGTGTCCCTTTGGGCACCATCTTGGGAGCAATTTGGGACATTTCTTTTTTGTAAAATGTAAAAATGTAGCTAAAACCAGCTAATAATATTTCACAGTATAGACACTGCCACCATATGACGGCAGGTTCACTTTTCCTGGAGCTTTAAGAGGAATAAAGTCCAGTTTTCTGAGGGCAAACACACCATGACTCACCAGAACTTTGCTCCTTTACAGTTTTCTCCTCTGTGGGCTCTACTTCTATTGTTTTCTGAGTTTTCTCCACCCTTACTGGGTGCTCTGGCACCAGTTTTGATCTGAAACAAAAAGAAAAAAAGTAACAGAAATCATATGAAGAGTCTCTCAACAAGTTGAAGGTGAGGCCAGAAGATACTCACAGTCTCTTCTTGTCCACCATTCTCTTGACTCTAATGGCTCTCTGCTCCGAGTACAGATTACAAACGTCTGAAATCACAGGTCACTGGTTTAGTGACGAAGCATGAAACAAATGTGAACTTTTACATAACATGACATCACCTCTCAGATACATGTCTATGATGTCCAGCACTGCACCCTTATGCTCCTTCATCTGGGCTGAAGTCACCTGTTTCTCCACTGTGAAGATGCAAATAAAATATTTATTTAATAACGAAGTCCAGATGCTTTAAAACATTAATCGAAAGTCTGGTACTTTCTAGTTTTTACATCTGAAATAAACACACACCTTCAGTGCGTAGCTGCTTGATGGCTTCCGAGCAGGTCCTCATGAAGATCTGAGCATCCTGGTCGATCTGGTCTCGTTCATTTTCCGTCATGCGATTATGATCGGATGAGATGAGACTATGAAACACACAAAAACCATAAAACTTTTCCTCTGCTAACCTGGGTCAGGGTTGCAAAAAAAAAAGGACCAAAATATTCAGAAAAGGCCTCACCCTAAACATAATTCAGTTCTAATTGTTTTCTATACACCTGAACATCCTGCATCGCGGTTATGTTAGGATGAGCATTGCATCCTTGTGAGCTGACAGTAACACAGTAAGCAGGTTTAGATTTAAATGAACCTGGATTACACACACAAAGAATCCCCAACAAAGAAAGCAGTGTAAGTAAACATCCCTTAAATAAAATAACATTAAAATATTGAACATGCAAAATAACATAATGCTGATTTTGGAAATATTTGTCTTAACATGAAGTTGTAAAAATTAGGATTCATGTTTTTAAATTTGCAGACTGGTAACAGTAATGTGCCCTAAGATCCAGCAGAGGGCGATGTGATAGTTCCTCTCCCACACTATTATGCAAAGCTGAAGGCCATTTATGTTGCAGTCTTAACCCAAGGTTATTTTTTTTTATTAATGTATGATTTCATTTAGTTCAAATCTATTTTCCATCATGAAAAATGTTGGCTTAAGACTTTTTACTTAAAAAAAAAACAGAAGAAAGTTGAAAGAAAAGAGGACCTAATGGTTGGAAGTTAAATCCCTGGATTTGTCCAAACACTTCATGCTACAGCACATCAACCACTTTCATCTCTAATATTTCATTAATGTTCTCCACTGAGGATTTATACACAAATCTGACAGAAGCGGGGGGAGCTGATCTGAACTGCCACACCAACAAAACACAGAGAGCCCCTTGAGCAAAGGAAGGCCAGGATTAGTCCCTGGGCGTGATTTGTTCTACACTTGGTTGCAGCTCAATTATTCCAGACAATTAGACTGGAGCCTGCCTCAGCAGACCACCCTACATGCCGCTGACCTCGTGCCAGCAGCCATCACATGCAACTCACGCAAAGCGCATTTGATAATAACCTTGACCTCTGACCTTCTCTGTTTTCTTTATAATCCCATGGTCAGTTTAGAAGCGCTCTGTTGCTACTGTTGATGACTCTTACTCTTTGGAGGGACTTACGTTCCAGCACTCACGTAATCTTTTCGATGTTGCAGCAAAAAGTCTTTGAGCTTGGTGATGTTTGTAATCTGTTGAGATAGAGAGAAAATGCATGACTGGATTTTCTTCCTTTCATATCATTGCATCAATTTAAAGCAACACAGAGCTTTTAACACTTTAAGCTGTTGCTTTCGAACTGGTTTCAGTGATTCTTGAGCCAGAAACTTGAGCAAGTTCACACTGGGTAGCATTCTCCTGATCAGAAACTGCACTTAACAGTTTTGTGGTTCGATAGATACACTGGTGGGAGGTCTCTATCTGCTTTACAGCAATAGCTGCTTACTGTGCCGGTAGCTCATATGAAGGCCAGAGGTTAGCTTCTTTGTCAAAAATAGCACAGGAAGAAGAACAAGAAGAACTTTTTTATGTTGGCATTGTGGTGGATCCTGGAAGTAAAAGTAAGGGAGTAATGCCTTTGGAGGCAAAGCTAAGAGCTAAAGCCAGAGTGAACATCAGTGCAGCCTAAACGAGCTAAAGGAGGCTATGAAATCATGGACTGATGGTAACCTGGCTTTGATGCAACTGGATTTGTAAGTCATGATTTTTTTTTGTCAAACAGTGTGGATTTTTTTTTTATTTTGTGGCTTATTTTAATATTAAATGGCTTGTGTTAGCAATAGCTCGTTGTTAGCGCTAGCTACAGTAAACAGTAAACCTCTTTAAAACAGTAGAAAGGGGAAGCAGGAAACATATTAGGTGTTGCTTTAAAACAGTTCCGCTCTTTCAAACAGGTTTAAGAAATTATATTAACGGTGTAAACAATTTCCTTCCTTCTGCATTCAAACTCAAACATGCTGAATGTGTCCTTTAATGCATACCAGATCTGACGGGTAATCACATTTGGTCAATCTGACATCTATCTGTATTCTCAATATTTACTTAAGACGACGCATAAACTCCCCGACATGAAAAACCCAAACTAACAATTTCCTTGCGGAACAGCTCTAATAAATAAAAGTCTGGGCTGCTGCACACGCAGGACTGACAGCGCCATCTCTAAAAGGCTTTAAAATCACAATCTGTTACTATTTATCACACAGAAAATGTCCAGGTTCATGAGTGTGTACAGAGGAACCAGAGGAAACTTGATTCAGTCCAATATTTACTGTTGCAATTTGGTCAAATATTAAAAAAAGCCCAAATTGCTTCCCAGTCCGCGGAGCTGTGCTGGCAGGACACGAGTATGCATGAGTACACACACAGTGGGCTCTGTTGGATCCGGAACACGAAAGATCTCAAGACAAGCCTCGGATTGAAATGTGACACAATGACTTTGACTGTGACAGACCACGAAGCGTGGGGGATTATTTGTATGATGTCTTCAGCCTTTTTCACTCTACCAACCTCAATTATCAAATTGCTTTGGCTGCAAGTAGTAACCTGGCACCTACGTTTAATGCTCTCTAAACATTCATCCATCATGACTCAGTGACTTAATGCAGTTTTATTAAAGCTGATGTCTGAAAAGAGAAGAAAAAAACATTGTTTTAAATAAACAGATGAAACAAATTTGTCTGCTTAGACAGATAACAGAGGGAAAGGGTCAGTTGGGGTGAGCCAACCCTTGTAATACTATTAATGCAGGTCAGGAGTTAATTTAGCGCAATAGAGATTAGAGGAGTTCTTATAGTTCTGCCTGAAGGATTTGGAGCTTTTCTAATATATCGTATTTTCCGGACTATAAGTCGCACCAGCCATAAAATGTATAATGAAGAAGGAAAAAAACATATAAGTCGCAGTGGACTATAAGTTGCATTTTGGGGGGGAAATTTTACTTTTCTTACAAAATCTGAGACCAAGCCCTTCACATCGCAAGACAAGTACCGGTCACAATAACAGAATAAACAATCAGGGCGCAGCAGCGTGCCATGTTCTCCAGCAGAGGATTGCGGTGTTTCAAACCCTCCCAGCGGGCGGGGAGAGCGCCCGCAGCACCCTGTCACAGGCTGCAGCAGGTGATGGCAGTGTTTGAAACCCTCCCAGTGGGGCAGAGGAGCTGAAACCTGGACCAGAGCCGGCCCGCAGCAGCGCGCAATGGTCTCCAGCAGGTGATGGCGGGGCAGAGGAGCTCATTCCTGGTCTGAAGCCGGCCCGCAGCAGCACGGTATACATTATTTGGTATACAAGTTGCTCCAGAGCATAAGTCGCAGGACCAGCCAGACTCTGAAAAAAAGTGCGACTTATAGTCCAGAAAATACGGTAATGGAATGAAAAATAACATTTTAGCAATGACTGACTGCTCCAGCTGAATAGGAGAGTGTGATATAACCTCAGACTAATATCATGTAGGGGTGTATATTGGCAAAAATCTGACGATACCGTATATAACTCACTACACTGGAGACGATACATATATTGTGATACTAAAAGCCAGATGAAATTAGCAACTATAGGGCTGCACAATACATCACAAATGTAACATCCAGATATCAGCATGCGCAATACGCTTATCTCAAAGAAAAAAATAATAATTATGCAACGAATGTTTAGCTTAATGTTTGCTACACATAACGCATTTTCTCACTGAAACAAAAGCATGCCGTTTTTGACAAATCAAATAGAGCCCTTCACTCATTTGGCCAATCGGGTGTTCTCATAGGTTAGATGCCCACCCTCTAGGTGGACGGCACTTAAAATGGATGGCTAGTAAACACATGAGTTAGCTTCGTTCTGCTCTTTCTGCTGATTCTACTTTTCCCAGGATCCACTGATTGCCTTTTCTTGTTAATTCTATTTTTCCCTTTCCTCACATCTTTTAAAAACAATTTTTTGCATTTTTATGATTGTTAGTCATTAAAAAATTTTCTTTGCTTTGACTTTTAGTTGAGTTAAGTGTTTGTTTATTTATTGCAAGTCATATCGTCATCACAATTCTAATCACTTATCGCACATTGCAGGTTTTCCTAATATTGTGCAGCCCTATTAGCAACTCAAGCCAGATGCTTCCAAGACGGATCCAGTGTGATCACGAAATTTCATTGTTCTGTCAGAATGAAGGCTTAAAAGTGCTGCCACCTAGCAGTCAGAGTTTGAATTACACCACAAAAGAAATACAGTAAATGTTTGCAAGTAAATTCTCTATAAGAAATCAATACACATCCTAAATATCGATTCAGTTTCACAACATGAAAAATCACAATATTTCAGAGTATTGTTATTTTCCTTAAATCTCTAATATTGTTTTTCAAGGAAATTTGTAATATTTATGACAAAAAAACTTTAACATGCTTGTGTTGTGATGTCATACATGTATTATAATTTACATTGGTTTTATTGTGAAGGATTCCATACTTAAGAGGTCATTTGGAATTGGAACTAGTTGAATTTTACTTCATTTAACAAAACAACAAAGTATAATGGTTGGCACTGAATGTAATAATTTTTTTAACTGAAGTTGAAACTTTCTTGTTCTTAAAGTATGACAGAAACATTTGTGTTTTGTAAAGTATGCATAACGATGTAAAAATAGATTCTTGTTATAGCTTGTCCTCTCTGTACATCATCCTCAGCAACATTACTTCAACTCTGTCCCAATAACAGCAGGATTATGACTAAAATAACACATTCTTCCCTTTCATTTTTAGCAAATGCCTGTTTCACTCACATGAGTAAGGAGCAAAATTCTAATAAAAATACCATGGCTTCCTAGGACTTTATCTTTTAATCTATTTTTATTTATTTACAAAATTTTAGGAGGATGAGAACCACCATTTCGTTTTTAAATATATGATTTATGCTTTATTTAATGCATGCTTTCTGCTAGTCACTAGCACCTGGAATAAGCTAACTTTTACACACAGTGTAATAATTTCCCAAGTAGCTGCTGCACCTTGTTGACCAGCAGGCAGTGCTAAATCCTCAGTGGAAGAACTTGCAAAATCAGACCGCAAACATGAGCGCAGAAAGTGTGCATGTGCGTATTGTGTGTATATTGGGTAGTGCTGGGCCTGCTGCTCTGGGGTTTGAGCCGTCTCCAGTGTGTGTGTGTGTGTGTGTGTGTGTATACATTGGAGCTCAGATTCCCAGCACAACCTCAAGGGTTTGCAGGGGGTCAGTGGGATCAATTGCTCTTGTAACTTAAGACCTTAAAGAGCAAGTAATTCCTCAACAATGAGGAAGGGGGTGGCCTTGTGCATGTGGCTAACCATAAATGTGTGCACCTAAGTGTGTGTGTGTGTGTGTGTTTATGAACAGCCGCTGTAGGTGGGTGTGAGCAGAGCTTGCAGCGGAGGCAGGAGGAGACAGTCTGCCGGGCTATATCTAATCTCGTCATCATCAAAGACCCCCACTTTAACTCCTCACTTTCTCCTTCCCCCTGCAGCCCCGAGTGAGCCCAAACAAACCATCAGGAGGGATTATTATGAGGAAGAAAAGGGAAAAGGCTTAGCCAGCAGATTTCTAAAGAGTCTGGATGGCTCTTTGTTTGGGTAAATCCAGGTAAATGACAGAATTGGATGATGACTGCATTGCTTCGGTATAAGACCCTGCCTGTGCGTCCTGACCGTGGGCTATCCACACTGACGCCATGCTTAAATACACTGGCCTGAGTTGCAGGACTGTGCAACATGTTGACTTTATTATCATGCTTATTTGTGACTCACTAAACAACTGCATTTGTCATCTCATGTCTATTAGGCTAGAAGCCTTCAGCCAGTTCAAACACAAAGAATTAAAAAAAACAATCTATTTAAGAATATTCATCCATGGCATTCTGATTCGTGTGAACACAACAGAATGGAGGTAGACCCTACCTTTATGTTTAATTAGCCTTGATGAATACAAACTGGAAAAAGCTCCAAATCCAGCATCGCACCGGGCTGCAATGGTTGGTAATAATTTGGATACATTTTCAAGGTGAACTGAACAGAACTGGTATGTTAGGTCAAGGTTAAGCTATAATAAGTTGTTTCACCATTGCAGTTCAGTAATAAAAATGATTACTTGAGCTACAATTTGTTTAACGACCACTTCGCTAAGTGGAGAGTTGTAGAATATACGTTAAAGTCCCATTAGTCATCATCACACCCTGATCTCACTCATACCACTAGGCCACTGAGCAGGTTACAGTCACATGCAATGACTGAATATTTCAAATCAAATCAAACTTTATTGATAAAGCACTTTTCCTACAAGGAATGCAACTTTAAGTGCTTTACAGATTAACATTACTCTGCATAACCCTCATTCCCATCCCTCCCACACCAATTTAAAAGCATTTGCACAGTCGTACCATAAGCCCCCTCCCCACCCAGGCACTGCCCGGAGAGCACCCAGGCAGCAACAATCGACAACCGCCCCCGAGGCACAGGGCCCCATGGAGGAAACGCTGGAAGAAAGATTAATATAAGATGAAATATAAAAATAACAAGAGTTAATATAATAGTAAAAGTAAGTAAATAAATAATAAATAAAATTCTAATAAATATTAAAATAATATGGATGTAAACTAAAACTGTGACACAATGTCATCAACTAAAATATGTAAAGCAAGTAATCAAACTATAATAAATAATAATCAGTTAAAAGCTAAGCTAAATGGGTCTTGAGCCTGCTCAAACATGAATGTTCTCTGCGGCCCTGAGGTTCTCCGGAAGACTGAGGGCCATAATACTGAAAAGACGCCTCGCCATGAGTAACCAGGAGACAGCTGCCAGATGAGTGCAGAGGCCACGAAAGTCCATGTGGTAAAAGCAGTTCTGAGAGATAAAGTTAAAGTCCCATTAATTCATCCCACACTGGTGAAATATTCTCCACATTTGATCAATCCCCGTGGGGAGCGGTGAGAAGAAGAAGAAGAAAAGATCTCGAGCTGCAGCTGTGCTCGTGAACCATTTGGTGGTTTAACTCCCCAATCCAACACCTTAAAGCTGAGCATCAAGCAGGGAGATGTTGGGTCCCATTGTTAACCAAGGTCTTTGGTATGACCGGACCAGGTCTTGAACCCCGATCTCCCGGTCCCAGGGCGGACACTCTACCACTAGGCCACTGAGAAGGTCATAAAGACACTTAAAAACAATTAAAAGAACCTTGAAATCTTAAAACTGATCCTGAAATATACGGGAAGCCATTGCAATGAATATAAGACTGGTGTAATGTGCTCCCACCTCCTGGTCTTCATCAGGATATGTGCTGCTGAATTTTATAAAAGCTGTAAACCTGAGATGCACTTTTCATTTTGATAGAACATCTGTATGTTCTGAATGTTCACATTTCCTGCAACAAGACAGTGACCCCTCCTTTCCACCAGCTTGGGGACCGGATGCAAAGGCCTGGCAGGCTGGATGTGGTTCACTGCTGTGCAGCAATGCTAATAATAAAGCCTAATTTATACTTCTCCATCAGCTCCACAAGGGAGAGACACGCACGGACAAAGACATTTTGCTCTGGACTTCTTCGTCTCCTGGGGAGTGTTGCAAAGCAATTCCCCACCAGGGCAACAGAGGGCGTAGTACTGTTCTGGGGTATCCTGTCATGTATTCGGTCCAAGATGGTGCATTTGTTATTGTGTTTATGTTGTGTTTTTTGTATTTAAGAGACTTTTTAACACAAACAAATTTGTCTCTCATTCTCCTCCACCTCTTCATGCGCTCGCCACCTCTAAACCCACGTTTCCTGTCATTTCCATCCACAAATAAAATGCTTGCTGCTTATTTTTTCAACCTTCCAGTCATGGATGAATAAAACGTTCATAATTTAGAGGTATTCTTCAAACTGCTCTGTATCTGCTGCTAGATATTTTTGGCTCTCTTTATGAAGAAGAAGAAGAAGAAGAAGCAGACGGTCTTTTATATAGTGCCTCTCAAGATAAAAATTGCGAGGAGCATCAAAAAAAAAGTATAAAAAGATTTTAAAATGATTAAAATATGTTTAAAAGGAGAAAATAACAAAAAATATGTCAGGAAAGGGAGAGAGAAAATGAACAAGAAAGAGGGAATTCAATGGATCCTGGAAAAGGTGGAATAAGACTAAGGAGAGGGTGGTGACAAAGGTCACGCAAAAACCAGCTTGAACAGGTGAGTTTTCAGCTGCTTTTTTAAAGGAGACCTCTGAGTCCACTGATCTCAGGCTCAGGGACTCAAGAACATGCAAACATAAATTTTGTTCTTAAAATTGAATCCCTGCTTTATGAAAATCTCCTTAAATTCAAATATTTTAATTTCCGGAACATTGTTATTTTGTAATGAGCTGATTTCGTTAATTCAAACAAAACATGATATGTTTAAATATTCTGGAGCTAGAAACATAATTGAAATAAACGTTAAGCAGATGAATAAAAATCCAACTAAATGCTTTGAAAATCCACAAGCGTGCAGAGTTTTCCCAGGGAAGAGGACTTCTAATAACACAACATAGTTTTAAGAGCTGGCTGATGGCCACACTTTTCAGGCTTTCAAAGAAAACACTGTGAGAAGGAGCAGATTTCGGAATATCAATAATGATGGCACAGTGGGGAGCCAAGCACTATTTTCTACACCCAGTTTAACAATTTCAGAGTGACCTCTTCCATTTAAAGTTGAGAAGGGCAGCATGCTGTGGGGAGTGATGAGGTGAGCTGTGAAATGGAGATCACAGCGGTCAAAACCAGCCCCTATGAAGTAAAAGATTCCCCCGTCCAAACCCCATGCTGCAAACACTGGCTCTCTTATTAGCCAATCAAAACCCTTTTTCTTTCTTAAATCGCTTTGAAAGAAGCTACATTTCCCTTCTCGCTATGCAGATTTAGTTGGGAGGGGGAGAGGGGAATCTCAAAAGACCAGTGTGTATTTGTCAACTTTGATGTTTTCTTTCTATTTTTGTAAAGCTTCAATGGAAACTTGGGAAGGAGAGTAAGTGGGAGAGTTATGCATGTCTTGAAGGGCACCCACATCTGTTGTGCATTAGGTGCTGACCGTCAACATTGTTACTGGGGACCTAATTTAATATTTTCTCTGTTTTGATCTTCCACCTTTAATCACTGGCTCTTGGGAGGATCGGCTTTCCTCAAAAATTGTTTGAGAGCCGAAAGAAAATGTTATTGTAGCATGTTTATGGAATCATACATGGGAAGAGGCGACTTGGGCAAAAAGGAGGAAAAAAATGCTGCATTTGTCAGGCTGTACACAGAAGAATGAATAGTAGATTTGGGGAGATGTGGATGAAAACCGCGACATAACTTTGAGCAGTCAGGATATTCCAGATGCGCAATTTCAATTTCTACATAAACCTTTTTCTGAGATGATATCTGCAGCAGAGGAGACAGCAGGAGGAGAAGGGGCGACGCATGAGGCAGGAACCACAGGAGAGTTTGGGTTTCCTTGGAATCAGCAGCAGTGCTTTTATTAAACCGCCATTTCCAATATCAATGGAACAGAACATAACAAAAACCTGGTTGAGCAGAAGTAAGAGCCACTAGGCTCAAGTTTGCTTCAGGCTGATGGTTGGAGCCATCGGGCACCACTTAGAGCCCTCTTACCCCATGGGGAACATAAAGTGCTTCTTCAAGTTGCCTTTGAAGACGTCTCTGTTCATGATATACAGGCACATTCTTTCCAGATCCGATGCTTCAGCACAATTTAGGAAAGAAAAAGGACAACAAATTGAAGTTTATTTAAATTAATACTAATAACTTTATTTCTGTATTTACATAATTTTCTTAATTTATCTACCAAAAACCATCACATGTTCAGGAAGTACATTGATAACAAACATGTTTATATTACGATTAAATTCTATAGTTGTCGCTAGTACATCCTCAATTTGTGGCTGAATTAAATGATGCACATTCCTGTGACAGGGCAGATGGCTGGTAGCCTGGCCTGCCAGATTCATCCTCTGTTTAACTCTGCACAGAGAACTACTCTGGTTACTTACAGGCAGAGAGGCACATGAGGGGGGCAGGTTTTCAAACTTTATAAAATTAGGAAATTTTAATAGCAACACCCATAAGTGTTGCTCAGCTTGAAGTTACACATCTCTATCTTCTGGTGTAAAGCAAAAACTTCATAACGGATTATATTTGCAGCTGTGGCTTCTAAAATGCAGCAATAATGCAATAATGCGACTTTGGTGCTTAAAGGGTTAATTCTACCAGTATTCTCAGCAGGCCTTTCAGTTATAAACCTGTACATTTACAATTTATTATTTTTATTTATTAATAATTTATTATTATTTATGAGTGGGTTCAAGTGAAACGTTTTATTTTGAGTTTTATTTTATATGGTGCTTTGTTATTATGTTGGTGCTAATTTTTTTATATTTTTTAAATAATTGATTTATTGCAATGCCTTGATTTTAGTGAGGTTTGCACACATTGAAGCAATAAATTCAAAGCAATAAAATAAAATAAAATAATATATATATATATATATATATATATATATATATATATATATATTTCACTTGACTCCGGGGTCTACTGTCAAGCTCCAGTCTAAAAGCTGATGACAGTTTGATGCTTTGCAAAGTCATTATTGAAAAGAAAAAAGTGTAAAGACATCTCATTGGTAATGCAATTCAAGTTTTTGGCTCTTGTGTATTCAAAGCAATTAATAGTTTCAATGTGTTTGTTTCAGCTTTGGCACTGTCTTATGAAAATTAATTCTTATCAGTGTAGGAGATGTGTTTCCCACATAAATAGCTGATGAAGGACTATATTATTTTCATGATGTAAAACACTGCAGACAGAGTCATGGACCATTTTCTTACTTATTTTGTGTAATAAATTACATATTTTATTACATAAAATAGGCCCCCTCTTGTGTAGCGGAGATAAAATGGATACATTTTAATTTCATATGGGAGGCATTTTTATTTTTCTTCTCACACTGAACACCTATGTGTAAAACTTAATTTTAAAAAATGGAGATATTTTTGATGTAGTGATTTACATCAAATTGTTAAGTATCTTAATATTGTACTGATTTTTCTGTTGAACTTGTCAATATCTAGTACACACACACACACACACACACACACACACACACACACACACACACACACACACACACACACGATTTTATTTGTTGAAGTTATTAATTTCCTATAAAATGAATCATTTTAGGAGAAAATATGGTTAAGCCAGAAAACATGGAATATAGAAAATAAACACAGAGAATAGAAGCGTTTTGAAAAAAGTAAAATAGATTGGGTCCTACGGATCAGAGCACATCCTAGATTGTGAATTACATCTAAGGACTGAGGAAGATGCTGGTTTTTTTACACTCATCAAACCTACAGATGACTGATTAGAAAGGTTGATAAAAGTTACTCAATTTAGAAAAAATCTATATTAGGTTTAAGAGTACCTTTGATTGAAGTTGGTTTTAAAAAGCAAGTTAATTGAATATGGCAAGTTAAACACTCTGATTTGAAGATGATCACGAGTAAAATGTATCTCAGAGTCACTAAATCATATTAAATATTCATGCTATCTTGTTTAATTACTGTTCTTGAGATTTGTATTACAGCTATAACTTATTTAGGCCACTTCTTTTTTTTTTAATTTTCACTTTAAAATGTAACATATTTTATTGAATTGGCCAAAATGCAAAACAAACTTGAACGAATACCTATATTATGTGCATTTTAAAACGTTTCAACTGGCTTTATTCAGGATAAATATGAATGTAGCATTAGCTGCCAACTGTACAGATACCTATTATAAAAGTTTCCGGGTGAAAAGTTTACCCTCTGCTTTAAATAAGAGGCGCTTGCTGCCTCTCAGAGTCTAGTAAAAGAATTCTAGTCGTTAGTAAATTTTGTTTTAAGAAGCCATACAACGATTATCAGGATCATATGGAGGCTGTCAGAGCTAGTTTCGCTAGCTGCGGTAAAACACTCACCACTTCTTTAGCTCGCGGTGAGAAGCCGCCCTTCGATTTGCTTTTCTTAAAAATCTCATCTTTTGTAGACTCAAAGCCCACTCCTATAGCCTTGTTCCTGGTTTTGACTGTCTTCACGCTCGCTTTGAAAAGTAAAGTTATATCCACTGCCATGCTTCTCTGTGTGCAGCTGCACCACGACACGGTAAACAAACTGACACGTCACCGAACATGATGTCATTCTCCTGCGACGCTACAGGTTTTCCCTGAGCTGGAGAAGAGAGCTTTAGAATTTAGGTTTGGACTGTTTCAGCAAATGAAAAAGATTTTGCTTCTTTATAATAATCACATACGGTGAACCTTCCACCTTATATTGTTTAATTGATGTTTGTTTTTTAAGGGAATAGTTTTTATAATTGAGAAAAACCCTTAAAATTAACAATTTAAGGTTAAAAAGTATTAAGAGAAAGTCTTTTTAAATCATGGTCATTTTGAATATTATCCTGTATATTTTAAATGTTATACTGTTTCTCTATTTATCAATTTCATTACATATAATAAATGTTTCAATACCAGGCTTTTGCAGAATTTAATAATGCATTTTTATAGCATGCTGTTGAAAAAAAGTGTATGGGGAGGAAAATTATCAGAAGGTGTGCCTGGTGAATGAGGGTCAGGAAAAGCTGATAGAATTAACTTGTTTTTGTGTGTTTCCTCGAGGAATAACCCTGCAGTCTGTTAAAGGGATGTCTAACGAGACCTGAACAGGACTGTCTTCTTCTTGCGCCGCTAATGCAGAATTCATATTGAACTCTGAGCCCATTACTGTATTTTTACAAGAACTAATATGACATTTTTTCTCAAAAGAAGGATTTTCTGCTGAACAATTCGTGACTCCAACAGTTGTTTCCGTTATGAACCTGTCAGCAGGACTCTTTAGTCTCTGAACTGATGGAAATTCAACAACACGGGTGACAGGATTTAATATGGATATCCTGAACTTACTAATAAAACTGTGGAAGAGGATTAGGGCAACTGAAAAGAAAGAGAAATCTGACTTTTTTCTCAGATTTATGACTTTTTCCCCCTCAGAATTGTTAAAGTTGGAAATGTGAGAATAAAAAACTTTAAATTCTAAGACAAAAGCTAGAATAGTCTTTTTTTCATTTTTTTCTTTTCAGTGGCCTTAACCCTCTTCCGTATTAATCAGAATGTGATCAGTTTAATCAATTTCCCTCTGGGATTAATAAAGTATGTTTGAATTGAATTGAATAGATAGTGAGAAATTACTGCAATATAATTTCTGCAGTATTATTGTAAAAAATGTGATACATTTTATACATGTTAATATTTACAGTTGTGATTAAAATAAAAATGATCACACAGTAGAGGAAAATAATCACACAAAACCAAGCTGTGATGGAACACATTAATCCAGATCTATCAATTTTCATCCGCTCATCCAGGGTTGGGTCAGGGGGGCAGCAGCCTAAGCAGAGATGCCCAGATTTTCCTTTCCCCAGCCACTTGAGCCAGATCCTCCATGGGATTCCCAAGGCATTCCCTGGCCAGCTGAGAGACATGGTCTCACCAGCGTGTCTTAGGTCTTTGCTTGGGTCTCCTTCCGGTTGGATGTGCCCAGAAACCCTCACCAGGGAGGCGTCCAGGAGGAATCAGATGTCCGAGCTGAGCCACCTCAACTGGCTCCTCTTGAATCCAGATCCAATAGAAGTTTCAACAGATGTCACTAAATCACTCACAGCAGAAGTTATTGATCCTTCAGTTGCTACCTTCACTGGTTCAGAAGAACACATGAAACACTCTGCACAACACTGCAGGAACAAATGGATTTGGAAATGTTTGTTCTAAGACGGCAAGTTGCAATTTTCCAGCTTCAGCAGGAGTATTACACTCTTAAAATTAGGCTGACGAAGAAACAAATGGCAGAATCTTTCCAAAAGGGCTAATACTTTGTCCTTTTGTGTCAAATAGTTGTTGTATTTTTCAACAACTGATTTAACCTTTGTATGACACATATGTGTGTGTGTGTAAAATCTGCCAACGTAAGCAAAGCTAAACATCTATTCGGTAGACAACATTTCTGCAATATTTATCATAAATTTGTTTATTTTTAAGAGGCTTGTGTTGGTACCAGGATTTAAGCAGAGTGTTGAATAAAAGCCTGTTATTTGCTCTGTGGTTTGCTCATTTCCTTAGAAAATCTTGTGCCAGTCTGCATTACAGCTGAGTGCTGCGACCGTCTCTGTTTTCATGCTCTTTCAGCATTACTAATGCCCTTTTTTCAGACTCTCTTAGCTTTGAGTTTCAAAGAAAGCTGCTTTTAAGTACTGAGGTTAGGAAACACATTAAAGACTGATTGCTTTTATGACACAGAATGTGTGGCGAATAAATGAGTGCACTGGATTTTATACCAAATATTTTTTTGCTGATACTCATAAATGGACTTCTTCACAAGCCTGTGCTTTCTTGGTTGAACAACTGTTTATTTTTGTTTTATTTAGTAGAACAGCTTGATGTCCATCGTGCATAAAAGCCAAGACTTGTCTTGATACTATTACAAAGTTTCTAAATAGTGAAATAATTCATCACCACATCATTCAAATATTAGATGGTCTTTCATCAAGAAAATTGAATCTCGCTCTTTTAAAAACACATTTGTGTTAAAGAAGTTTATATTAATGTTTTGGCTTCAATATAAGATTACAAATTTTATAAACTTTTTTCCACACGGTTTCCAATATTTTTCTTCACTTTTTGACTGAAAAGCTCTATTTTAGCTGTCTTTAGAGCATTTTGTTCCAAAAACACACCCAGTCAGCTCTGATTTGTCAAATCAAATAAAAGTTTATTTCTATAGCATTTTAAAACAACAACCTATTGACCAAAGTGCGTAACAGAGATTAAAATCACATCATAAGAGAGCATAAAGAACATTAAACTGGCTAGGAAGCAGCAGGAAATAACAAGTGGCGTTAGTAGTCGAGCAAATGATAAAAAGGAACATTCGAGAATAAATATAGAAAAGAAGGAATATAGAAACTGACATAGAAAAATAGATTTACAGGGACAGTGTCACACTCTAAAAGCCAAGAAATAAAAGTATGTTTTTAAAAGTGATTTAAAAGCAGTCAGCTCCGAGCTAGTACTAGCACACTGTTCCAAAGTGTTGACAAACACTTCCTTTGTTTGCCAGAAGGCGAGCAGGAGCATTACGGACTGCCTGAGTGTCAAAATATAAGAGTACACATAACATGCATGTTATGTGCCAAACCAGCCATTAAGTAAATGTATGTGATATAATTAACCTAAAACGTTGTAATTAACATGTAATATACTATGTAATAGCTCTAAACCACTCCTAATTTTGTTACATTGCTTCTAAGGTACCAAATTTTTGACACATCTTTTATAGTGTTCTTGATCAATGGTTCTTCACACTTTCTCAAAGTTAAAAAAAATATTCTGGGACTTTAGCTGCTTTTCTACTTACTTTCTGTCCAGTCCTTGTAGATTATGCATTCCTTATTGACATTCCTACACACTATCTGTTCCTGGATAAAGACCAAGTGATGATATCCATTCCCACTGTCCCTGACAGATGAGCCATGTTTCGTAGTGTCCTCTGGGCAGTCCACTTAACTCCCTGAAAAGGGCCTTTACTCTCCACTTTCTCTTTGTTTGGACTATCATCAGACCTGTCAGTCGTGGCTCCTTTATCTTCACAAGGCTCATCTACTGTTTGACATTGGCTTAATTATTTCAAAAGCCCTTATCTTTGGCTAGCCTAAGGGTGCATCCTTTTTTCCGACTAACAAAAATCATCATAACTCTGATCTACTAATCGTCTGTTCTATTTGGATTGTTTATTAGCACAGTGGAGTCTGCAACCAGAGGTAACAATGCAACAATATCAGCAAGAAGTGGTCCAGCTTGGAGATAGGCTCCTTTGAAGGTAGTTTACTCTGTCTTTTGAAACTCTCCACTTGAAACAGTATGCAGGAATGTCATGCAGCTTGAACTGATGGTGAGCAATTACATGGGAGGAGGCTGCTGCCTTTGAGGTGGAGGCTTACGTGCCACACCCTGCAGGCTTGCACATCAAGACTCTGGACACGTCCCAAACTGTGTGAGGACATTCTCTCATCTTTGAATCTTTCTACTTATGAGATGGTTTGTCACAATCTGGCCGACTGCAGATGTTGAGTTAAGTCATTCAGTTTTCTTTGGTTGGCATAGAAAAAAAACAAACAAACAAAAAAGAAAGAAAAAACAAAGATGAAAGTTCTTTTAGTACCATGAAGAAAATTAGAGTCAGAACAGATTTTTTGTTGTGCAATAATAATAATAATTTGAAGTTCTTTTTTGCCTCATGATGTCATGTTGATTGAATTACATAAAACTCAATGTGTGTTATTTCTGTTTGTTGTCAAACAAATAGTGATTAGGCATAAGGATAATCCTACACATGTGGCTGTGTGTTTGAGAAACTGATATTATCCAGCATTTCTCTGCACTATGTCCGTGGGTTTGCATGTCTGAGACTATTTAGATGCTAATTTGTTTCTTGCCCTTAAAATAATCAAGATCCAGTTGTGCATTCATCTCATGCAAGGTCATGCACTTGTAGGTTTTCTGGAAAATCAATCAAGGAAAATTTATGCAGCATTGGGCCAACAAAGAGCCACTCATAGGTTGAGTACAGACGCTGTGATCACAAATTGGATTTTCCATAATGTAGTTGCCGCTACAAATGCTTAATTTTATTTAGGATAGAAAGGGCATTGCCAATCACCAACAAGCTTCAGGCACCGATTCCTGCTCAAGGGATTAACCACAACTTATGTTTTTATATTTCTGGCACGGTGATGGGCAAGGAAAGGAAACTTTCCAAAACACAAGGTTACAAGGCAAATTACTCTTAACTTGGACTGAACCATTCAATTTTCTTATTATGTGTTGTTTTATTTACTCTATATGCGAAAAAAGAAGTTATTTCATTTTTGGCTCGTGTGATTTTCAGATGTAATACAATAATGCCATGACCACATGAAGACAGTCATGATTTGAACATTATGGATATGCTTGACTTGATACTTTCCACAGCTGACCTCAGAAATGGACAGCAATTGCCTCGACCAATGAAAGGGGATCCTCTTTGTAATTAAAGCCAGTAGAAAATTGGATCATTTTTTG